TGTAGCTACAAGCCCACTGAGATGCAAGGGGAGGGAACATAGACCCCCCCCCCGCCCCCCACCTTGACGGGAGCAACGTCAAAATCACATTGTAAGACGAGAGAGCATGTAGGATGAAAAATATCCTTGTTGTCATCTTTAGAAAATACAATTGGCTGTGATTTTAAAAAGATTTCCTTTTATGATCATTTTCAGGTATGTACTGAAATATACAGTAGTTAAAGAAAAATCTGCTCAGTGAAGGTGCCTTGTACTGCCTGGGGTTGCATCTGCTTTGTGTCCAAATGGGCTGGACAGCACTATATTCACGTCCTTGTCCTTTTTAGCCTCTTCCATTGTTATAATGTATCGTTAGTTCCATGTCCAGTTCAGTTAATTGTCTTTTAGGACATCATATTTCTCTTCATTGGTCCCGGAGAATATTTCTTTTTTTTAGGTAATGGCTGGGCATTTAAGTGCCAGCTGAGGGCTATGCAGTACTTATTATTATGGACTGAATTGTGTTCCCCCCAAATTCATATACACTGAAGTCTTAACCATAGAATGTGACCGCGTTTGGAGACAGAGTCTTTAAAGTGATAATTAAGTTCAAACGAAGACTTTAGGGTAAGCCCTAATTCAATATGACTGTGCTTATGAGAAGAGAAAATTTGAACACAGACACATACAGAGGGGAGAACACATGAAAACACAAGGAAAACACAGCCATCTACAATCCAAGGGGACAGGCCTCAGAAGAATCCGCCCCCTACAAACACCTTGATTTCAAACGTCTACCTTCCAGACTGTGAGAAAATACATTTCTGTTGTTTAAGCCATCCAGTCGGTGCTATTTGTTATGGCAACTCTAGCAAACTGATACACTTATCAAAGGTTTGACTGTATGAAATGTATTTTGAGAGGTATCTTTAAAGGGTGTATTTCTCTGGGCTGTGTTTTCAAACTTGTTTTTTAAAGCAATAAATGCCTTTCCCCCCAAAAACTATCCTTTAGCTATAAAATATACAATGGTATTTTATTGGTATACAATTTGCTTAGAAGTTTGAAATATTTCCCTGTAATAAAGGCACTCAGTAGGAACAACGAGATGGCTTTGAGGACACACATACTTGGAAACCTGTGACATTTTGGCTACAGGTGACTGACAACTCCTTCACCTGGGAAAGTCTGTCCCCTCCCAAGGCCCAGCACATTTCTCTTGCTCCTAGAATTCAGCATTATTTTATTACAACAGAACTTCCACTTCCTCCCAGGCCAGAAAAGTGGGAGGTGGAAACTTAGCATGCAGCTCTTGGAAGGTTGCAGATCTCACCATACTACTACTGGCGTCCATGCCAAAGTTCTAGAAGAAACCCTGAAGCGACTGAGCAAGACCTTGTGGTCACTAAGCAGAAACACGTGACGTGATCTGCTGGCTGTGTACTGCACAGTGACACAGGGATGGCCTTTGGAGCTTGCTGGCCTAGCTGTGAATCCTAGTTGATCGTCACTAGTCGTGGGACCTTGGACCAGGCATGCCACCTCTCTGAGTCTCAGTTTCCTCATCTGCAATAAGGGGGCTTGGAACACTAGCCTTGTGGGTTCTTGTGAGGATTAAGTGAATTAAAATGTGTGTTTACTTAGCATCATGCTTTGCACATGCTTATTAATTTATTTTCGCCCCTGCCCCTGGGAGAGCAAGTGTAGGGCTCAAATGAGATAATGTAGATGGTAGTACTTTGTAGTCTGTAAAGAGTCATCTCTGGGCTAGTTGCAATCGTGGTGTGGTTTGATATTGACTGATTCCTGACTGTGTGGGCCCGAGGTTGATGGAGATTCATTTTCTCTTGGGTAAGAAAAAGGGGTAAGGACATCCGGAGGGGAACACGGATGTGCTCAGTGTCACTTGTGCAGGCTCAAAAAAGCTGATGGGCAGAATGAGTCATGAAAATGTTTCTGCAAGTCCATGAGAACGTTTCTGCTCAGTCACCAAGTGGACCAGTTTCATGAAGGACTTTGACAGGTGACGGGAGGCTCACGAGTTCATGCCCTACTCCTAACAGCAGAGCGATTCACATCAGAACCTGCCCACATAATTTCCTGAGTCATTCCATTTGCTGTTTGGACATTGACATATTAAATATTATTTAATAAAGTGAGAGTATAGCCCAAAGTCTGTTTTGTGGATTTGCCACATCAAAAAAGTCTTTGTTTTGGAAATTGCGTTTAAGTCTGCAAAGAATATAGTCGTTGGGATGTAAAGAACAGATGGGCTCAAACGTGGCTGTTTTCCTTGAGCAATCCTGAATTAGCATCGTAGATACTGAAGATGCATGAGCTGCTGCTGCCCTCTGCCAAGAGGGATGGCTGTGTCCACACGAGCTTTTTGTCCCCACCTGGGGGCCCTCACTGTTGTGGGCTGGGCTCTAACAGTTCATCTTCACCTCTCTGTAGGTTCTCCCCATCACGAACCTTCTGGAGTCTGGTCCAGCTTCATTGTAGACACCCCCCACCCCCACCCATGAAGTCATTGTTATTATTTTTTTTTTTTAGCAGCTCTCTCAAAATGGAAGATTGAATGGGATAAGCATTCGTAAAGTTCTCGCTCCAAGTTTGCAGTTTACTAGGCTGCCTCCTGAGAAAGATTCTTCCCCTTCTCCTGTCTTTCTGTGGGTTGGCCCCCAACTGCTCCCATCTCTGGGATATAATGTGTGGTTGGGAATGAGCTGGTGGGATAAACAGCTGCCTCTAGTTGCCACCCACTCCTGTGCCTGACACCCTCCATTCAGGGCATTCATTCTATGGGGCTTTGCAGATTTTCCATTCTTTAGTTTTCTTTCTCATGCCAACTCTCCTAGGAGCTGTTCACCTTACCGACTAACATCTTAGCCAGCTGCTGACGCGGTGGTGGGCCTGCTCGGAAGCAGCGCCTGGAGGGCCTGGATGGGACTAGGTATTCTTGGAGAAAAAGGGTAATGATATGGGTGGTAGAAAGAGTCCAAAACGTCTATTTCAGGGTTTTTCCTAGGGTTCCAGATAACCGCAAGGAAGGATTAATTATTTGCCTTTCTTTCTTTCTCTCTCTCTTTCTTTCTTTCTCTCTCTCTTTCTTTCTTTCTTTCTTTCTTTCTTTCTCTCTCTCTTTCTTTCTTTCTTTCTTTCTTTCTTTCTTTCTTTCTTTCTTTCTTTCTTTCTTTCTTTCTTTCTTTCTTTCTTTCTTTCTTTCTTTCAATGGTGTCATCCTTGCCCACTGCAGCCTCAAACTCCTGGCCTCAAACAATCCTCCCGTCTCGGCCTCCCAAAGTGCTGGGATCACAGGTGTGAGCCACTGCACCTGACATGTTTTCTAAGTAGAGGAAGATGACATTAGATCGAATTGGATCAAATTGGCTCAGTGTGAGAGTAAAGCAGGTGCCAGGGCATATCTGTTTATGTCCGTTTGGCTGAAGTACACGTGTGTGTGTGTATGTACGTGCACACGTGCCCCACAAGTGACAATTGATATTAGTGATCTGAGGGAGGCGACGGTGAGAAAGTGTGGGAGACTCTTCGAAGCAGCCCATTCTTAGCGAGCCGGAGCTCTGGAAGCTGGGGAGCTGTGAGGAGACGTGAGGAATGATGCCTGCTCCCTAAAGCCCTTTCCTGTCATGGGGAGACACAATGTTGAGAGGGAAAAGTGCCTTTGCAGTGGGCAGCCTGTGTGTGTAGAGCCGAATGAGGTACAATAAGCACTTTGGGGCTCAGAGGTGGGCTGGGTCGTGTAGGGGAGACTTTGGGTGACCCTTGAAATGGGCCTTGTGGAATGGGGGTTGGGGCCGGGCTTGGGGAGGGGGCAGATATAAAAGAAGCAGAACATTCCAGACAGAAGGAGGAAGAGGTACCGGAGTTTGTGTGGAGGGCAGGACGGGAGCAGTTTGGCTGGCGCCCAGGATTTGGTGAAGACACAGATGGAGGAGACGCCAGGAGAATATAGAAATTATTATATTAGTAGTTGGGGAAGTCCTGGGAGAAGACTTTGGTGCATAATAAGCAGAGGCCGGAGAGTGTGCAGATGTGACACACGGTTATGAGGGAGGAAGCAGGAAGGGCCCCATGCCCTGGGGAAGGTGGCTTGGCCTCGCATGCGGGCCAGGCCCCGGGTTAAGTCCCCTCGGTCAGCTCTAATTCTGCGAGTTAGGAGGGATGGGGCTGAGCGAGAAGGGGAGGGGTGCGCCGTGTGTGGCAGGGGGCACTTCTGTGACCACGGGCAGAGCTGGACCGTTGCGGGCCACCGCAGGGAGGTTTGCTGTGACGCTCCGGGAGGTCAGCACCAACATGGACGGAAGCAGCAGAGGGACAGACAGACTCAGAGAATCTCAAGGGTCAGGGGCTGCTACTTTTGAAAACAATTAACATTATTACTTTAAGATTTTTTTTTTTACTTCTTCTTGAAATAATTTCACACATAAACAAAGGTTGCATGACTAGTACAAAGAATTTTTTTAAAAATTCTAAGCCATTTGAGAGTATGTTGCCAATCTGATGTTCTCCCAGTTCTACATGCTTCATGGTCACCCCTGTGAGCCAGGGCGGTCTCCCGCACGACACGCGACGCTGCCGTGGAGACCAGGGAATGAATGCTGACCTGTCACCGATGCCCAAGCCTCAGAGCCCGCTTGACTTTGGCCCGAGGTCCCCACACTGTCCTTCATAGCAAGAGGGTCCAGCTCGGAGTCACACTTGGTGTTTAGCTACCCTGCCTCTTTAGTAGCGAGGAAAGGAAGGACAGGAGGGAGGATACAAGAAGGAAGGAGGGTCTTTTTAGGTGTTTTAAGCCATCAGCACTCACAGAAAGTAGCCACCGACAATGCTCAATATTGGACTTCATTTTCTTTTTACTCCCTGGTCACTGTTTAGTGACTTGCCTAATTGCAAATGGGTGTGTGGTGGCATGGATAACTTTGGAAAAATCCTGAATTTTTAAATGCATTTTCCAACAGTCTTGTAGCTATATTTTCCCCTGGTTTTATGCACATATGCAGGTCAGAGATGTGCTGCGTAGAAGGAGAAGCTGGATCTTGTAATCTCTTCATACTCCGCAGAGTAGAAAACTGAGATTCTTTGTTACCGCAGTTGCTCCTGGAGTGGATCTGCTGAACGTCATCACAGCCCCTAAGACACAGCTCCTGCTCCCAAGCCGGACCCGGGGGGACTCCTTTGTGAGGATTGGCAGTTGTTGCTTTGGTTTCATCCAGTCTCAGACTTGCCATAACAGCTTGTTTTATACAGCTTTCGTCTTTAATTTTGCAAAGTGATTCATGCGGAGTGTAATATGCATCTCTGAATAATTACTTACCCGGAAATTTGTCTTCTCCTGGTAAGAGTGCTCATTTCTTGCACAAAAATTAATTTTCATATTATGTACAGAAGGGACCCTTCAACTCCTTTTGGTTTGAGTTCTTCACCATCATTCATTCTTTCATTCCTTCATTCAGCTTACATTTAGTGAGCACCTACTGTTGCCATACGTGGGTACACACGTATGAAAAAGAACATTTGTTCTCAAGGAGTTTGCAATTTGACCTGCGGAGAAAGGCACATGTGAAGATGACCTTCAAGGCAGAGATTGGCCTTGAAGGGAAGCCCGGGTGAAGTGCCTGGCTTTGATCATCCGGAAGGCTGTTGTGGAGAGCATGCACTGAGCTGGGGTGTGAAGAGGAGGGGATACGACTCGTACTTAGGAGAAAGTTGGAAACTCCACTGAGGAACATACCAACTCCTCCAGCGCCATATTGAATGGAAACGACGATAGTCTCATTAGCTCTCTGGCATTAGGAGGCAGCATATCAGACAATAGACACAGAACCCATAACCTCCTAGGCTCTCAGAGGGGCAGAGCCCTTCAATCGTAATTTCACATGCTCATTTTACAGACAAAATAATGGAGGCTCCGAGAGATGAGGCTTTCAACTCAGGAAGCCTTGGCTAGCTGGGAGCAGACCTCTGATCTTCCGAGCTCTGCCTCGGGGCTTACTCCACCATTCCTGTGCCCCAAAAAACCAGCTCAGCGAGGCTCAGAGGCTGAGCTGGCCTCTCTGGCCCAGAGTCCCCTGCAGTGTTGTTCTTCACTGCCACCCGTGCGTGCAGAGGGACAGGAAACACATGGGCTGTCAGCTCTGCGCTGCTCCCTTGTAGACCTGCACTTGGGCCCTGCAGGGCGAGGACAGCCCATGGGGTCTGGGGTGGGGGTGGGGGCTGGCAGCGTGGTGCTCAGGTGAGAGGCTGGGAGTATGGGGATTGGAGCCACCCTGCAGGAGAGTTAGAGTTAGCTTTTCCTGGGCCTCTGATCTGCAGGTCTATTCCTCTAAGTCTTTTTCTTTGTCAGCCTCGTTTCTTCCCCTCCTCCCATCCCTCTTCTTTATGGTCTAAACCTACCTACTTAAAAAAAACAAAAACAAAAAACCATTTATTTTGAAATGATCAATTAATTGAATGTTGTAAAGTAATATAGAGAGACCCATGCACTCTCAACTCAGTTTCTCCCAATGGTTATATCCAACCTATATATATATATATATATACATATACCTATATAGTACCTATATAGTACTACATAAGTAGGTACAATCACCTACTATACAACCACTTACCTGTTTTGTTTTTTTTTTAAGAGAAAGGGATCTCACTGTGTCACCCAGGCTATAGTGCAGTCCCTGTTCACAGGCATAACCATAGCCTGTGAAGGAGCAGAGAGAGTTCCTCTGCTCTTGCCTCTTCCTGGGTCCCTGCCCTGGGGTCTGCTCCCTGGAGCCACTCCTGCTGAGAATGGCTTTTTCATCACGTCTTCCCCAAATCACCGAACACCCAGAACTGGGCCACTTGCTCCAAATGGAGTCTGGGCCATGATCTCTTCTTGAAGAAATACCTACAAACCTTGTCACTGTGCCCTCCCTCCTCACGTTCATCCTGCCTGACACTGCCACGTCAATCTTCCGAAAGTCCCACTTTCCCTTTGCACGCCCTGGCGGAGCAGCCTTCTGCAGCGTCCGTCTGTCTCTCTGCCCTGGTCTGAAGCCTCCAGCCTGGCCTTTCCCGTGTCGGTACTGCTTGAATCTGGCAGCTACTGGAGCACACCATGTTCCTCTTCTTAGGGTGCTCCTGCGGGCAGGAGTGATCCTCCCTCTCTAAATCCTACGTACACTTCAAGATGTGATCAAAGCCCCAGCTTCTCCAACAACTAAGTCTGCCCTTATTATTCCAACCCATAAGGAAAGTTCTATTTAAGAATCCCCACTGCTGATTGCATGTACTGGCCTCCTGGTACTTAATCATATGCTGTTGTGTACTGTTATTTTTTTTTTTACTATTGGATCCCAGTGCAGCCTTGCAACTAGACTTTCCACTCTGCATTACTGCTGCGAGTAATTTTCCGGCTGTCTCTGCATATTTGTGTCTTACGCTCGGGAGGCAAGTCCTGGGCTGGAGTTTCTCCGGGACCTGCCACATTCCTGTGCTCTGCGTGCCAGTGGGAAGAAGAAAGAGTGTCTGGCTCCTTTGGCTTTAAAAGTGGAGGTGAGGCTGATCTAACGGGAGCATCCGGAATCAGCTGGGGAAGGCTCTCCCAGATAATAAGGGTGTTTAGCTGCTAGGAAGCCAAAAAGGACAAATGTTCACCAAATGTTCACCATATTTATATAGGACATTTAAAATTCCTGAGTCCTGATTTTCTTATCTATGAACTGAGAATAACATTTATCAAACAAGGCTATTTTCAGGATTAAATAATATGATATGTGTAGTCACATACTGCCTGGCATAAATTAGCACTTAACAAATGTGAGCTCTTCCCTCCTATTAGTTCTTCAATCGTTTACCAGGAAAATTATTCTCCATAATCCCCTTAGAACTACTCATCTGTACATAGTAACTTTAAAGGAAATCTCTAATTCCCTACTGGTTATTGTTTTGTGTCTTTTTCAATGACTGCAAGCTTTCTTTGCAACAAAAGAGTGTGACAGCCTGCTTTTATTTTATGATACACGCCTTCCTTAAATAAAAATCATCACTTAGGAGCTTCGCTGATTTTTATTTTATTTCATTTCTTCTTGCAGATTTTGAAATTCCATATGGATCAGGGTTAGCTTGGCTTCAAGGTTTTGGGGCTGCTTCTGTCTCGCTGTCTGTCTTGACTGGCAGCACCCCGGAGAGACAGAGCGGAGGGTGCTATCGCCTAGAGTGGGTTGTGGGCGTCATTACTATTGGCCAAGTCATGGATAGATATTAGATATGAGTGTGTGGTCTCCGCTGAGTAACTAGCAGCAAACCAAGCATTGATTCTATTGTGAGAGCCAATTGTTTCCAAAGGGCAGATGGAGGTGTTCAAATTGAATGTCATCCTCAGGCCACAAACCCCAATCTTCTCCTCCCCAAATGTAGGTGTTTCTTCAATGGCCCCTATTATCTTGACTCACTCACGGTTGGGGCCCTGATGCTGTTATTGTTGCGAGTAACCTTTGCAGACAAGTCACGAGAAGGAGATGAGTCATTGCATCACCGTCTGCGTGGGTCCCACCGCCCAGTCCCCAGCCCCTGGGGCTGAGGTTGAGGGGGCTGCACTCTGGATGTCAAGGAAAGAAGTGGGGAGCAACTTCCCTCGCTCATCAAGAGAGTGACTTCTGGGCTGCCATCTGGCAGCAGAAATTACTCCTCCAAGATTGCTAGTATAAGTTAATGGGGCTCGGAGCACAAATAAGCGACACATCAGCCACAACCTGGACTGATGGGCTCCTTCCTGTCGTGTACAGAGACACGACTCCGCTGGATGTGGGGTGAGAATTTTTCCCCTCATTTTTCTTTACTGTTCCCACTGGGCGCGTACATAAAAGGCTCATGCATTCTATAGCGTGACATTGCTTTGATGCTTAACTCTTTACATATGATTCCGCGAAGAGGAGTGGGTCCTGTTGCCAAATTCAAAGAGGGGGCCACACAAGAGCCCCAGAAGCTCAAAAAACAGCTTGGCTTTCTGGGTATTCCTGTGAAGGCACATCTCCTTTTAGATTTATGGCTCTCATTTTGTCCATTTGTTTCCTCTCTTCTCAGGCAATCAGACCACACGCCTCAGCTGTTGGTGCCTCCATGACTATTTGGTGAATGAATGAATGAGAAGTGCTGCTATGGATGTGTATAGACCCTCGGGGTGTGCAACGGTGATGGGAAAAAGAAATGGATGGGACTGACCCTTACAGGGGTGGTGACCTGAGGCGGGGGGGACCTCACTCACAATCTTGGCGAGGCAAACAGGAGCACTGAGAAAGGAGAGAAAAACTAATGAAGACGCTTGGTCTTATGCCATCTGGGATCATGGGCTTCCTTTTTAGAGAAAGTATTTAGGAAGTGGGAAGATGGGCTAGTAGGCACACAAGGGGGAAAAATGTGTTTTAGAGCCAAACATGGTCCCCAGGCTTAGCATGGTGATAAATAACGGAGTGAAGTAGATGGATGAGCCGCAGTGAAGTCCTAGATGATTCAGAATTGGGAGGCAGCCACCTGAAATCCTGGGGATTCTCAAGGTAGCTTGCTGTTCTAGAGACTTAATTACCACTGTAACTCATGACACATAATTGCGTGTCAGATAGGCTAGTTTTCATGCTGAACTGCAGCCTTTTGGAAATAAATGATGCTTATTTCTCCTTCCCCTGCAAACTGACCCAACAGATTTCTAATACACATCCTGTTCTTCTTCTTTCTTGTCCCAGTTCTTTAACAGAAATAGCAGCAGTGACATGATTTCATGTAGAACTCACATAAAACTTGTAGAATCATAGACCCTTAAATTTTTGGAGTATATTTAGAGTATATTTGAGATCTAATCTCAATTGCAAAAGTCCCCTCAAGTTGATTAAAATAAAGAAAGAAACAAGTCAAATTTCAGGAAACCTTGGTTTTAAAATACATTCAATCTAATTTTAATTTAGGAACTTTATAATCTCTTTTTTCTATAAAGAGATACTTTTTTCTTCCTGTCTCACTGTGTTAGATCCAAATCCCACTATAGGGTGAGGAATTGTGAATAGAAAGTGGATGGTTTTCTTTGGAATAGAAATTTGAAGATGGAACCCAA